TTTGTTGCCAGTGGGATGCAGAAGAAGGCGTCTTTAAGGTCAATTACTGTAAACCACTGAAAACGTTCTGACACAGATGTTAACAAAGTATACGGATTGGCAACCACCGGGTGAATATCCTTAACAATCTCATTAATGGCCCTTAAATCCTGCACCAATCTATATTTGCCATTCGGTTTCCTTACTGGAAATATCGGTGTGTTGAAATCTGATTCACATTCTTTTCACAATCCTTGGACAAGAAACTGTGCTATCATGGGGGCTATTCCCCATTTTGCCTCTGCCCTGATAGGATACTGCTTGATTCTTACAGGTGTCGCTCCTTCTTTCAGTTCTATTATAACCGGCTGGGCTGCCTTGGATTTACCTGGCATTCCCGTTTCCCAGACCCAAGGCACCACAGCTTGATCGATTTTTTCGGGAATTGGAACGGGATCTGTGTTTTCCTTGATTACAAAAATTTTCCCAATCTCTTCTTTCGGAATTTCCAACTTAACTCTCCCTTCTTCAAATATTATTTTAGCATTTAGTAATGACAATAAGTCTCGGCCAAATAGAGGTTGAGGGCAATTAGGCATGTACAAAAATTGATGATCTAATTCTCTCCCTCCAAATTTCAAATTAAGTGGTTGTAAAAAGGGTCGTTCTTCTAATTGTCCTGTAGCACCCACCACTTGAACAGTGGTGTTACTTACTGGGCCCAGCCGTTTATTAAGAACCGAATAGGTCGCCCCTGTATCTACCATAAATTCATGTTCTTTTCCCTCAATCTCAATTCTCACCCTTAGATCCCGGTCTAGTCAGCTTTGCTTCTGGTAGTTCCCCAACATCATCGCCTGAGCTTGTGCTTGGGCGACATCTGCTGGTCCCATAGAATAATTTCCAACTAAATTACCTCCCCCAATTCCCATTCCATTTTTCACAGGGCATTCATTTTTCCAATGACCTATTTGTCGGCAAAAAGCACACTGATTGGGTCCTAGTCTTCCTTGCCCATTCTGACCAGGGCTATTGAATGATCCTCCATTCATAAAGCCTCCTCTACCTCTACCAAAACCGCCTCTGCCTCCTCCTCGTCCTCTTCCTTTACCCCGTTGTTCTCCTCTTCCCATAGATTGCTGAATCATTGCCAATGTCTCAGCTTGCTGTCTCTTTGCTGTCTCTTTTTCCCTATTATTATAAACCTTCCAAGTTACCTCCAGTAACTTCTCCAATCTTCGTGTATCCTCACCTTCCAATTTCTGTAGCTTTTTCCTTATATCTTCTTGGGATTGTCCCATAAAAAGCAAAGCTAACTGTAATTGACCCTCCTGGCTTTCCACATCTAAACTAGTAAACCGTCGAGCAGCATCTTTTAATCTTTCCAAAAATGCCGAGGGGGATTCTACTTTTTCCTGTTTTAGCGAATATAATTTAGACCAGTTTAGGGTTTTAGGCATTCCAGTACGAACGCCTTCTATTAATAATTCCTGATATCTTTTTAGACTTCTATAATCCCCCGCGTCATTTGGATTCCACTCTGGGTCGTCACCAGGTACCAATTGATCTACTGTGGCCCCAGAATAAACACGCACCCTTATCTGTTCCCTAGCTCTCTCTCTAGTAGCTCTTATTACCATATCCTTCTCTGTAGAATCCATCAAGGTATCTAACAACACTTGTAAATCATTCCAATCAGGGTCCTGAGTTTCAACCACCATTTTCACCACCCTTGCTACCCGTTCCGGATCCTCTCGATAACTCCCAGACGATTGTTTCCAAATTACCAAGTCCCCCGGAGAGAAAGGGGTTTTTACAAACACCCTTTCCCCTTGGGGTCCCACCGCCTCCCGGAGTGGCGCAATCAAGGGGGTCTCATCCCGATTTCGCCGACCCTGTCGGGTTCGGGCCGCAATCGGAGTTCTTTGTACCCTCCGAGCTGCAGTATCAGGAGAGGGAGTGTGTGGACGGAGAACTACTGAGGTGGGAGAAGACCCAGAATCCCTGGGGGATTCCATGTCCCCTTCCCCATCTGTCTCCCCCAAACTCTCCCCTCCATCCTCAGACTCTGGCGGTGGGGCCGAGGGAACTACCCGAGATGGGGGGGCAACAAGTAATGATACCTCCTCCTCTTTACCTGATACCTTTACGGCACATTTTATACACTCATTCCGAGTTTTACATCCCACACATTCCCATTTTCAGCTTTTACCAATAACATACCACACTCCTTTTGCCACTCAGGCTTCTTTCCCAAATAATAAAACAGATCCAAATACGGTATTTCATCCCATTTCTCGTTTTCTCTTAGATAATGCATCAGAGGTGTTATAATATTTACATCAATTGTTCCATTAAAAGGCCACTCAGGGCCTCCTTCTGATTCATACAGTGGCCACCAATGATTACAGTAATCTGTCATTTTATCCTTTTTTAATTCCTGTACGAATCCCGCACTTTTCCATCTACTCAGTAAGCATCCCAAAGGGGTGTTTTCCGAGACTTTCCCATTTGACTGTACCAAAGCCTTAAAGGTTTTGAAAGGCATCATTTACACAGTAAGAAATACAATAGTTATCAGTAAGAAAAGGAATAAACCCAAAAGACAGTACCAGAGACCAATCCAACCAAACTTGCCACTTCTCAGAGCCGCGAGGGGCAAGTGCCGAACCAGCGAGACTTTCGCCGCGTCTTATGGTCGGCGCCTAGGCTTTCCACCAAGACGTCTATAGCCCAACCCTGCGAGGTTCACTGCCTCATCTTATGAGCAGGCACCCAGAATTCTAATACCAAATAAAGCACCTCCCGGGCTTACCTTTTACAGTCGTCCGACAGGCGCGGTGGTCGGGCATGAATCGATGACTCCCCGAGAATCACTCGGTGCCGGCGTAGAGTGGATCAGGACGCGAACCGCCCCAGCTGCCCTCGGAGTCCTGCCGCGGTCGCCAGAAAACTGTTGCCCGTTCAAGAAAGAAAACACAAAACAACAAAGTTGTTTTATGCGGTGCTTTATTGAGGGCCCTGGGGACCTGAGGACTAATGTCCAGAGTCAGAGCCCCGCTGAGACAAAATTTTCAGGAGGTTATATACTGTTTGCAAAATGATTACTTCATCACAAGTTCTGAGTCTACGTGCATTTTCTAACATTTCTGTTGATTTATAGATACATTGTATCTTCAACTTACATTTTTGTCATTTTTGTTAGTAACAAATGTTCTACACTCCACTAGATAAAAACAATCTGTTCTTTTAGCTAACAGTTCCCCATGGCTGATTGCCTAACACCGGCCGAAGAATCCTTCTAAGCCTTTAGCACAACTACTCCTACAGCTAACGCGTTATTTCAACTGCAACACTCTCAAGACAACAGGTTCTACAGGAAGAAGTTGGGTATTATTTAAGCACCACAAGACGAGTTTCTTCCATTTTACATTAAAGAAACATGGAACAGGAGAATGGGAGACTCTTTGAGATCGTGTGATTTTCAATACTTTGATGAAACGAGATAAAGGAAGATGTTCAAGCTCGACAGGCCACATGGAACCATTATGCTGATGTCACCAGCTAGACAAGCCATTGGTAGCCATGGCAATGGAACATTCTATACTGCCTAGCAACTGGTACAGAATGTGAACTCAACAAGCCTAAAGAAGCTACCATCTCCTCCGTGCGAGTGAGAGTAGAGAAGCACAAGCCGTGCAAATGGCCACAGGTGGAAATGACTGCAGTATGTGATAATGGTTTTGAAATTAGACCAGATGGTCTCAACCTGGATTTGATTATTACAGGTCCCTCTTAACAAAAGAAACCTAATGTTCTTTTCTGCAGATGCCCCACTGCCACAGGATAACCAAGAAGTGATTCTGCCTCCAGCCCAGTGTCAAGGCTCACTCACATGTCCAGAGAATATTGTAATACCAATTCACCCTCCATTTATTATAAACCTCAACAATGAAGAGGATGATGAAGAAGATGATGAAGAGGATGATGAAGAGAACTGTAAGCAAGTTTTTTTCTATCCTTTACAAGCAAGTAGAATGGGTTTTGTAAAACATTACCATGTACATCACAGCCAACTGATTCATTAGAATAAGCATTATTTGAATAAAAGAGTGGTTGACAAATTGCTAAAAGAGTTTCCAGCAAATCTCCAAATTATCAGACCTGACAGTCACCAGCGGTGAGTGAGGCACCATTTTCTAACTCCTGTGAAATGCCCAGCTGTATGTTTCAGCAGTGGTATAACTCACATTCCTCTTTCTCATTAACTAGACTGTAAAAGGTGATCCCCAATTCAAATAATACGATCCACAATTCAGATGGCCATCGAAAACTCCTCACAAGTCCTCACAATTCAGGGATGACATTACAGGCTTAGGAGGTACTTCTTTTCCTGGAAACCAGCTTTTGAACAGGGGCTGTACTCACTCCTCAGTGAAGGTAATGGAAGTCACAGGTTTGTTTACAAACGACAATTGTGTGAATTCAACTTGTATAACCTGTTCCACTGATTTCAACTCCATAGGCAGTCTCATTACACGACATTATTCTGAACTCTAGCAAACAAAATCCATACCAAGCTCTTTCCTATTTCACCTGAATGTGTATGTTTATATACTTAGGTCCTTATGTTTTAAAAGTTTTGAAATGTGGTTGAACCATTCAGTGAATCTCCTTTAGAGATGGGAGGTCCATAGGGAAGGGATGAATTGCACATTCCCGGTGAGTGAAAGCGAGAGAACAACCTGCTCTAAGGCACACACTGCACAAATTATAGTACTAATAATTTTAAGTCAATACATGTTATCTTCTTACAAGGCTTGTAACTGCAGTTCCCTTGCCCTTGGAAGTACCTAATGTGAAGGAATGATTTCACTGTCCTGAAGCAAAGGCTGTAACTGGAATGGAAGTGAAAAGGAAAACTAAAACCCAGAAAACGTAACCAACTGAAGTCCATTATGTATTTGACTGTTAAGATTTGTTGAAGGTCTTTGTCTAGCTAACTTAAGTGTTTCCCACAGATGTTTCTGACTGGGTGCCTAAGACTGCTGAGGATATCGAAGAGGAAAGAGCAATAAAGGACATATGCTATAAATCTGGTAAGTATGAAAGGAGTTGTCACTCTTTTCTGAGCAGCCATGCTGCACACACAGTAAACTTAGGGGTATTTTTCCCTCTTGGATAACGTTCAGGAGAGTTTTACGGGATTCAGCAGCCTGACCAACAGCAGTCACCCAGCCCTGTGTCACCGTCTCAGGAAACTGAGCTACAGCCCTTAGAAGCTACCCAGTGGGACTTGCAGAAAGGCAAGTACTTTTCATCGCCTTGGACAATGGGTACCACTTTTGCAATTACTCTTACAAGGAGAAACTATGACAGAGTTTGCCCCTACTCTCCAGGCCTCTGAACTCAGGGACAGTCCTAAGGCATTTGCAAATACCATAAAAATACTTAGTTTTTCTCCTTCTTTGTGTGTATGGGTATCACACATGTGGTGACTACCTGCATCAACTGTCAATGGAAAAGGTGAAAATGGGCTCAATATTAAGCCCAGGAGTACTTTCCTAGGGTAGACAACATCAGTTTTTTGTGTAATTGTTCTTCAAAATCACAATTTATGTTTTCTAACCATTCTAATGTTAAGAACTGGTTTCAATTTCTCTAGCAGGCTCTCTCTTGTAAATAGGGACAAGAGTCCCTATCTACACTCTTTATAGGGCTATTTATTGCACCATGAGGATGCCAAAGAATGGTAAAAAACACCTTTCCCACAGGGGTTTTGAACTTTTTGCTGGACCTCTCTGGTGTCTAGATGATGAGATGTAGTGGTACATTCCAAGAAAAGGACAGAGATTTTTCCCCAAAGCTTTTCTTCAACCAAGTTCTCTGAGGCTTTAGGTTCTGTGATAACAGGCACCTTGAAAATACCATCAATTTAATCAGGCAGAATCCATACGTATCATACATGAAGAGTGAGCAGCTAAAGAACAAGCATGTAACTCATATCCAAATCCTATAAAATTTAATGATACAAAAAAGGGAGGAGAGAGTTCAGGAAGAAGAGTACCAAGAGAGAGTATTCCCAAAAGAGATCACAACTCCTTTGAAATATGGAGAGAGGATACTTGATCATTGACTTCTCATTGCTGAACATCGTATCTTCAGTGAAATAACTCTTTTAAGTGTCATGTCTCCTGCAGTATGTATAATTTTCAGTAACAGCACAACAGTATTGGTTTGGGGTTTTGTTCCCTATTAGAAAGCCATACTGCAGAACCCAAACTACAACCCAGTAACCAACCAAAGGGTCACTGTAAGGATGTTGAAAATAATTCTTCTCTGTATTATGAGAAAGAAACTGGAAGAAAGACTTCCTTTTATTATTCAGAACCCCAAACATCAGCATATGTAGTCAATCAGATTGTCACAGTCACCAAAGAACCCAAGTTCAGCCGACCCAGAGGTGGGTTCCTGCTTAAATGGAGGATTCTTAAAATGCCTCCAATATACCTGCCTGTGTTGTGATACAGTCAAGTGTGATCCTGCAGGTGAACATGAAGTGATTTATGCCTGAAGACAGGTAAGAGCACATATGATCCAGCAAAACGTTCACAACTACAGTGCAGCCGTACTCACTGACAGAAACGTAAAGCTTTATAAAGCTCTGCAATTAGTCAGACAGAAAACTCATAAACAGAAATTAACCACCTTCAAAGCAGGAATTCATTTCTCTACCCAACATAGGGGAATGAATGCGGATATGCACAAATATACAGATTCCCACTGTCTGTGGTCTTCCTACAGACAACTACACTTCAGGATCCTATAATGCACCAACCTGGGGGCAAAGAAATCCACAGGCAAAAACATTCTCCAAAACTAAAACAACCATTCAGGTAACTGCTTGTTAGGGATTTTGACTGTCTGGTCTCTCCCCACCTAGAAACCAAAATTTCATAGTAACAGCTTCCCCAACCAAAACCCCAAAAGATCCTATGCAATGCTGAGCAGTCTGAAAGAACAGTTAAGAGTTGCATTGATTTGCAGACGTGAAATTTGGCCTGTAGAACTAAGCCATAATTCCTAATTTTGGACAGTATTCCTGATCTGAAGGCAAAAGTTGTACCTGCCTTTCAAATGAGGAGCTACAGGAGAGGGTTTGGCTTGTAGCACTGGACAAAGCTCAGCAGAGACACTGCAGGAGCGTGGTCTATTTGTCTCTTTTTGTCTGCTTATGTAGCATCTCCAAAAGCCAAATGCTGATCAGCCAAGCTCCTAATTCACGAAAGGAATCAGGCTAGTAAACATTCACAGGATGCCCTGGGGACCTAAAATTAATAGATTTTACAGCTGAGCAGAAAGCAGAGAAGACGACCTTGTCTCCTGTGTTGACGGTTTACCACTTAAACTGCTTCTGAAAGAGCATATAGTTTTGCCATAGGGAATTACGCACAAGGTGTTCTGGGTTTGTATTTTGACAACAGCACCAAAAAAGACATGGAAGTGAACCACAAACGAGAAGGGTATGAAGACAGGAGGGAGATGAAGCGAGATCTTAAATTCACAAGGACAACCTGAATTGCAGAAAGATAGGGGAATTCTCAAGAGGAGACATCAAACAAAATTCCAAAAATAACATGTAGGAAGTACACTGTAACATTTCAAAAATGATTAAATTTTAATCCTTCATCACGGCTATGTTACTGCCTTGTTCTCATGCAGATTCTTCTTCCAGACAACTGGACTCTATCAGCCCAGCCCTATCCATCCCATTCCTGATTCCTAATCCTATCTAAGTACTCCAGTGTTTCCCGAAGACATGCCAACTTGGAAACTGCTCTAAGACAAAAGAAGAAAGACAATCTCCTTGTGAACTCTCTCTGCCTTTCCATTATTGATTAGAGATAATGTTGCCTTTGTATGCACTTCAGCTAGGGCATATGCACTAGAAGGGTTTCCAGCCTAGCACTGCAGTTTTTGGAGATGTGCCTTCCTTTACGACAATGGGCAATGGAAACTCATCCCAATGAGCTGCTCTGAGCTCTCAGCTTGGAGCTGAAAGGCAATAGCACCATTTTATTCCAAGCAATACCCAGGCCAGTCCAGTGAACGCTGGCAAAAGCATCCTGCTGTTAAATACTTTTTGTTTTAAGAACTGGCCTTGTAGCCATAAGCATAAAATACAGAATCTCTGAATATGCATGGGCCAGTTTGAGATCTAATCCCGTGTTGGATTCTTCTTTAGGAAGGAACACCACCTGAGGAAGTGCCATGGTTTAAACCCCAGCAGGCAACTAAGCCCCACACAGCAGTTTGCTTGCTTGCTCGCTCGTTCACTCACTCACTCACTCCCCGCCCCATTGACTTATGGGAGAAAATCAGAAGGGCAACAGTGAGAAAACTCCTCGGTTCACATGAAAACAGTTTAATAGGTCCAGTAAAAGCCACGCACACAAGCAAAGCAAAACACGGACCTCACTCACCACTTCCCATCAGCAGGCAGGTGTTCAGACGTCTCCAGGGAAAGTGGGCATCATCACGGGTCGGGAAGACAAGCAACATCAAGCCAAACATCTCCCCCCCCCTCCCCCCCTTACTTCTTGTTTTCCCAGTCTGTCTGTAGACCGCCCCTTCTAGCTCGGGAAGTCAGAAAGCCGGCTGGGTCCCTTGAAAGTTTCCCAGTACCATTATCTTGGAGTGACCCCGTTCCTTGCTGTGACCGTTCCCGACACTTAGAAAAAGCAAACACAACACCTGCGTGAGCTCCTGGATGCCGCACCGTCCATTTCGACAGACACCTGCAGCCAAACCCCTCGCCACATGGCGGCCTCACTGCCGTCGGCCCGCCACCGGAGCCGCGGCGGCGGCCGGGACACCACCTGCCTGCCTGCCTGCCTGCCTGCCGCCCAGCCCCGTGAAGCCCAAACCCCCTGGCCGGCCCCGACCACCTGCCGCTCCCGCTTGCCCAATGGCTCCTTCTTCGCCACCGTCAGGAACAAACACACCACGGTCCCCTGCACCGCGTCCCAACACCTCATGACCCCCGACGCCAGCCCCGCGCCGAGCCCACACTGCGCCTGCGCCGCGCTCGCGGGGCGCCACGGGACGTGGAGCCCATTACTGCCCCCCGCCGCCATCTGCGGCACGGCCGTGGGCGCGGTGGGTTAGCTGGGCTGCCTGTCTCCAGCAGCCTGCAGCCTCGTGTCGGTTCCGCCGCCCCGCCCGGCCGTGGGTCTGCTGCAGCTCCGCGCTCCCCAGCGGCAGTTGCCGCCGGGCCAGGGGCCGCCCCGGGCTTCACAGCTGTGCTCGGACATGGGCCCAGGCGGCCACGAAGCTGAGGCCGAGGCCGGCCTGAGGCCCCAAGCTGTGGGGACCTCTCCCTCAGGACAGCCGCCTCCTGTCCTTACCCAGGCTCCCTGCCTCGGCGTACAACCCATGAGTCTCTGCCGGGTTGACTCTGCCTAGACGCCAGGCACCCACCAAAGATGCTCTACCACTGCCCTCTTCAGCTGCACAGAGGGGAGAACAAACAACGAAAGGCCCGTGGGTCGACGCAAGGACATGGACAGAGATCACTCACCCTTTTCTCTGTTTATTGCCAATCGCAGCCGAGCCGGGCATGAAAAAATAAAAGGCAAATTTCTCAACGCCTTCCCCCCACCAGTCCCTTCTCCCCTGCTGTCATCGGCCCTGCTGGACACATGGGAAGCTTCCAGCAGCTCCTCCCTGTAGCCCCCAGCTACCACATCTTTGCCACACAAACCCTGGGCAGAATCAGTTCTTCCTGACCAGCCGTGCTTCAGTGCCTCATGTAGGCCCAGCTGCACAACTACAGACAGCCCCTGGCACAGCTGACCTGGCCTTCCTAGGGCTGCTCCTGCCCACTGATGGCTCCTTACTCACGGACCTCATCTGCTTTCCTGAATTCTCCTTCCCTTGTGTGCCCCAGTCAGTCCTGCCCTGGCACACCAATGACGTACAGCACCGCTGTGCTCTGCTGACTTGTCCTGTGAGTGAAGTCACCATGCACTGCCGGGCCAGGTTCTTGTGGAGTTTGTTGGGTTTTTTTACTTTGTGATTTTCTCTTTGTTTGTTTTCCCTAATTTCCCCATTTTTATAAAAAAAGTGCTTGTAAGTGTTCATTTCCAAGTCACAGACGTCTCTCACTGCTGTGGATCTGATCCCATGAACTGGGGATAACAGCATGCCTTCACTGATTTCCAGGACCAAAATTTAATTTCCCCCCAAAATATTTTTTTTTGTTCGGAGGCAGCCTGGGACCTGAACGGGAACAGAGATTTTGTTAGGGATCCATGTGTCCACTGCTCTTTCTGCTGTGGCACTGGACATCATGGAAGCAAGAAAAAGCAAGGAACGCCAGCAAGTTAACACCTAGCACCCTACTACATTTTACAGTAAAGAAACACCAGAATGGGAGACTCTTGAGAGACAGTCCCATTTTCCATACTTTACTCTGAAGCAACAAGATAAAGGAAGATGGTCAAGCTGGACAGGCCACATGAAACCATGGTGCTGATGTCACCCACAGGAGGAGCCGTTGGTAACCATGGAAACGGAACACTCTATACTGGACAGCAACTGCCTTCTTCAGCTCAGGATGCCTAGAGGAGGTACCACATCCTTCCTTGAAGCCTATTGCTCTGTGGAGTTTTGTTTCAAAAAGTCCTAGCAGAGCTAATATTCTGAAGGTCCAGTTTTTGAAACAAAGCTACTGATTTTAGGATAAGATTACGGTTTGCCAGAATGTAAAAGCTTTAACGTTTTCATGTATCTTCAGAGAGTATTGAGAGAGAAGGAAAGGTAGAAGAGGCGAAGATGCTCACAGCAGAGAATGAACTCAGTTTCCATTTTCATTCCCCCTATGCACAGGTAATGCTGTACATTTTAGAGTGGTTTGTATCCTTGATTTTATTGGTATCTGTTGAATATTGAAAGGGAGGGCCTTATGTTGAAAGGGAGGGCCATAATACAAACTTTCAAGTTGCTATGGCATCCTTCTGTGTCACGGCAGCACGTGTAAATCAAAATACAATATTTTCAGAGGTGTTGAGAAGAGCTAACGGTAATCTAAACTATATACAATTTAAACTGGGCACAGGCAATCAAAGAACACAGAAGTTAGAAATCATGCCTATAGACCACTCATCACTTTCTTATTAAGTTAATATTATATTGATTCTCAATAAATAGGCCATGTTTATCATTTCTGCCTCAAGCAATTACCTGAATTCCTTTAAATCTGTTATTTAAAACAATGCCCTTAAAAATGGGTTTGTCCACAAAAAATAATATTTATGTTCCACCAGGTGAAAAAAAGCTCCCTACACCCAGCTCTAAATGTCTGGAACTGGGTGAAGTCGACCTTCAAATGCTCTAACATTTTAAAGTGTGTCTTTGTTGCCTTTAAAAACTCACACACAAACTCACTGAGAAACAACAGGT